AGTTGGCTAGGCCCCAAACCTAGGAGTGTTCTTACTCCTTTCTTTCTTTCTCATCCCATATGTAATCTGTTAGGAAATCCTCTTGGCTACCGTTAAAACACTCCTAGTTGGACTATTTGTCATGACTCCTTCTGCTGCCACCTCGGTCCTTGGCACCATCATGTTTTGCCTGGGTTAGCACAGTACCTTTCTTAACTGACCTGTGTGCTTCTATCCTTGCACAGTAGCTTGAAAGATGATTTTTAAATATAAATCAGATTGTGTTGTTCCTCTATCTAAAACCCTCCAGTGCTTTCCCATTTTACAAAAAATAAAGGCTAAGTTTTTCCAGTGTCCTCTGAGGCCCTCCATCATCTGACTTGTCGTTGCCTCGCTGGTCTCATCTCCTACTCCTCCGTCCTCTACCAGTTCAGCTCTAACCACACTGGCTTCTTGTGTTTTTGAGCATGTCAAATATGGTCCACACCTGTGCCCTTGATCTTATTCCTCCTTGTGCCTGCTGTGTTCCTCTCCTATATAGGGCATGTACTGCATAATGATGCCTCAGTCAAAGACAGACTGCATATTTGACGGCGGTCCCATAAGATCAGTACCACGTAGCCTAGGTGTGTAGTAGGCTGTACCATCTAGGTTTGTGTAAGTGCACTCTGCGATGTTTACACAACGACGAAATCGCCTAATGACACATTTCTCAGAAAGTATCCCCGTGGTTAAGTGAGGCATGGCTGTATATCTGCATGTTGCTGCCTCGCTTCACCCGGGTCTGATCCAATGCTGCCTTACCAGGAAGGCCCTCCCCAGCCTCCCTGTGTGAATAGCATCCGCCTCTCTCTCCCCACGCTTGTATTCCCCTCACCCTGCCTTAGTCCTCTTTGTAGCATTTATTACCATCTGACATTTTATTTATTTTCTTTTGTTATTTTCTATCTCCTCTATTATAAAGAAAGCTTCTTGAGGGCAGGGACCTTCTCTTAGCTGCTATGTCCTCAGTGCCTAGATACCTTGTCTGTCATAGTTGCTCCGCAGGTGTTTGTTGAATGACTGAATTTAGTAAGCCTTCTCTTCTATTGTCTCAGTTTCTTCATTTTTTAAAATACCTTTAATGAGATATAATTCACCCATTTAAAGTATACAGTTCAATGGTTTTTAGTATATTCACATACTGCAACAATCACTACAATTTTCAGACATTTTTATCACCTCGAAAAGGAAACCTCTTACCCATTAGCTATCCCCCCTTTCTGAGCAAACACTAGTCTACTTTCTTTCTTTCTTTTTTTTTTTTGAGGAAGATTAGCCCTGAGCTAACATCTGCCAATCCTCCTCTTTTTGCTGAGGAAGACTGGCCCTGAGCTAACATCCATGCCCATTTTTGCCTACCACAGCATGGCTTGTCAAGCGGTGCCATGTCTACACCCGGGATCCGAACCAGCGAACCCCGGGCTGCCAAAGTGGAACATGTGCACTTAACCGCTGCACCACCGGGCCGGCCCTCAGTTTATTCTTAAAATGAACCTAAGAATTATCATTTCCATCTTGAGGAATCTGAGATGGAAAGAACTTGCCCAGGTCACAGAGCTAGTAAGTGGTAGAGCCCGGATGTGCAACTAGGTCTGTGTGATCAGAGCCCTGACCATAACTTTGTACGGCTCACCAGGTCCTTAATGCAGTTTGTGACAGCTCTTCATCCTGGCATCTCTCTCTCCTTCACTGTGGTAAAGCTCTTTAATTGGGCCAATATTTGTCGAGAAGTCTTTTAAAAGTTCATTTGATTGTCAGTACCAGAGCTCTACATTTAACATTTACTTCTGTTCCCTGGAGCGTTGAATTAGCCTAGTAAGGTCCAGGATAATTTGACTTTGGAAATTATTATTCTTACCACAAATCTTGGTGACTTTTGGAATCCATGAGGGAAATGTTGCTGGAAACTAGAGAGGATGAAGCAAATGCCATCCACAGTGGACTTTGTATGTTTTCCAAAACTTTTTATTTTGAAATAATTTCAAATTTACACAAATGTTGCAAGAATAGTACAAAGAGCATCTGTTTACTTTTCATCCAGATGTACCCATTAACATTGTACCACATTTGCCTTCTCTTTCTCTCTCTCTCTATATGTATACACATACACACACTGTATATATAATTTTATTCTAAACCATGTGAGAGTAAGTTGCAGGCAATGATGTCTTATTATTCCAAAATACTTCAGTCTGTATTTACTAAAAACAAGGACAACCACACACATTATCACAGTACGCTCATCGAAATCAGGAAATTTACACTATAACAGTACTATCATCAAATTCCTAGCCCTCTTTCAAATTGTTTCTGTAATGTCCTTTATAGCAAAAGACAGAACAAACAACAAGAAAAACCCTTCTTTTCCCCTTTGCCTCCTTTCCCTCTGGTTCCTGATACGGTCCAGAAAGAATCGTGTATTGTATTACTTGTGTCTTGTTACTGTTACTGGCCTATAATCTGGAAAGTTCTTTGATCCCCCCCCCCCCTTCATGGTTTTGACATTTTTGAAGAGTACATGTCAGTTAGTTTGTTGAATGTCACTCATTTTGAGTTTGTCTGATGTTCCTCGTAATTAGATTAGGTAATGCATTTTTGGCAGGAATGTCACAGAAATGACATTCTTCTTCTCAGTGCACGATGTCAGAAGGCACATGATGTCAGTTTAACCCATAACTGGTCATGTTGACTTTTATCAGCTGGTTAAGATAGTATCTTCAGATTCTTCACTGTGAAGTTCGTCGGTATTTTTTACTTGTTAGTTAACAAGTAATTAATGAGCATCTTGTGGGGAGGTACTCTGAGTTGCTGTAAACATCCTGTCGCTCCTGAAATGTTCACCCACTAGTTTTAGCATCCATTGGTGAGTCTTTTTTTAAATTATTTTATTGAGGTCATGATGTTGGCTTATAACATGTAAATTTCAGGTATACGTGTCTGTATTTCAGTTTCTGTATAGACTGCGTCGTGTTCATCACCAACAGTCCAGTTTTCCTCTGTCACCATCCGTTGATGATTCTTGCCTGAACTATTAATATGGTGGTTGCCAAATGGGCATTTTTGAGTTCTGTTATTCCTTCTGTATTTATTATATGTGATTCTTTGTGATTCTACTACAAAGAGCTTTCCCTTTCTCCCCATGTATTTTATTTATTGTGGCTAAATATATATAATATAAAACTTATCATTTTAACAGTTTTTAAGTGTATAATTCTGTGGCATTAAGTACATTCACGTTTTTGTGCAACTGTCACCGCGATCCATCTCCAGAACATCTTCACCTTCCCAACTGAAACTCTGTCCTCATTAATCAGTAACGCCCCATTGCCCCTCCCCCAGGCCCTGGCACCCACTGTTCTGTTTTCTGTCTCTATAAATTTGACTACCCTAGGTACCTCACGTAAGTAGAACCATACAGTATTTGACCTTTTGTGACTGGCTTGTTTCACTTAGCATAATGTCTTCAAAATTCATCCACAGTGTAGCATATGTCAGAATTCACTTCCTTTTTAAGGATGAATAATATTCCATTGATTTATATAATCATATTTTGCTTATCCATTTATCTTTGATGGACACTTGGGTTGCTTCCACCTTTTTTGGCTATTGTGAAAATGCTGCTATGAACATGGGTGTGCTCATATCTATTTGAGTCCCTACTTTCAGTTTTTTTGGGTATGTACTCAGAAGTGGAATTTCTGGATCATATGACAATTCCGTCTTTAATGTTTTGAGGAACTTTAATTTTTTTTGTATGTGTGTGAGGAAGATTTGTCCTGAGCTGACATCTGTTCCCAGTCCTCCTCTTTTTTCACTTGAGGAAGATTAGCCCTAAGCTAACATCTATGCCAGTCTTCCTCTATTTTTTTTATTAGGGATACCTCCACAGCATGGCTGATGAGTGGAGTAGTTCTGCACCCGGGATCTGAACCCACAAACCTGGACCACCGAGGTGGAGCATGTGGAGCTTAAACCACTTGGCCCCTGGGGCTGGCCCCTTGAGGAACCTTAGTTTTTAAAAATTAGTATCTGTATGGACTCTTGATTTCCTATTTTATTCAATGGGTTATAATCCATTACTATCACTGTTTATTTTGAGGTACAAATTGTCCCTAATTTGGCCAGTAAGAGGCCTTCAAGCTGGCTCCTGGATCCTTGTGACATGCCCTCATTAGCGCTCTTTCGTACTGTGGCACAGTAAGATGTTCCAAGCTCATCTTGCTCTTACTGCCCCCGCCCTGGAATCGACTGTTTGTCCAAGGAGCTCAGTTCCTTTTTTTGGAGAACAGTATTTAGAAACCAAGATGGGTGATGGGTATGCTGACTGCTCCTGGGGTGTCATTGCTTCCAGGCTGTTTCAGAAGAGAGAGTGAGCAAATGTGAATGTGTGTGTGCATGTATACTTACACACACATACACAGAAACATACATCCGCATTTATTTCTCTATATGTCTATGTCCGTGTGCATATTAAAATCTAGAGTTTGCATGGATACCTCCAATTTCAGTCTGACACCCCAGGATTGATTCTGGCTTTTCCCTCTCCATGTTTGTACCTCCCTCTCCACCAGTGGGAAACCTGGCTCCCATTGTCCTCAGGGTGATCACTTATTTATTAAGTGGCCTACTTATTTATTTACTTACCTACTTATTTGCTCAGTCCCACTCCGCGTGCTCGATCTCCTAACCATGTGGGCTCTCTTTTTGGGCCTGACCCCACCAAGTGCACTGGTTTAATATCCATACCGCCAGCCCCAGTCCCACCACCTGTGCCGCGAGCCCCACCTATTGTGCTAGCAGGATCCCAGACCCTCCCCAAGAGGAAGGCACGGAGCGGGAGGTGACCAAGGAGAAGAGGGGGAAGGGCAGGGGAGGTCTGGATTTGTATTTTTACTAGTCACTCATGGGCATTTTAGCTATGATGGTATGGAAAGTGGTGCTAACAATCATTTGTTTTTCATTGCTCCCTCTCTCTCAAGATGGTTTCACCCGAACATTACTGGCGTGGAGGCAGAAAACCTACTGTTGACAAGAGGAGTTGATGGCAGTTTTTTGGCAAGGCCCAGTAAGAGTAACCCTGGAGACTTCACACTTTCCGTTAGGTAAGTTGGAAGTGAGAGAATCCTGCAAGTGTTTTGCAGGTAGGAAAGGGTGAAACCACATTGGACGGCTTGCTCTTCTCGTCGAGAGTTTGAAGGCTGGCCTTCTGCCCTGTGGTGAGGCCTGGCCCACAGATCAGAAAGGATTCAAGCCTGCTTTCGGGGTTCAGGGCGTGAGAGCGGGAGCCTGGGAATTCAGCTGAGGGGCGTGGCGGTGGGCGCTTCTCCTCTTCTGAGAGCCCCCCAGGGGTGAGTTGGAGCAGATTATGAGGGCTTAACAAGTGCCTAAGCCATCTGCTGCTTGCTCCTGGCTCCACTCGTCCTGACCTGGTTCCCTGCGTTTCTCCTCTCCCTTCTGTTGATTTCTTAATGAGAAAAATACTTGAAGAGTTTCTTCAGATCACTTTTCTTTTTCAAGAAATAAAATGTCACTAAGGCAGTTGTGGTCCCGTTTGTTCCCCTGGCAGTCCCATTCCCCTCCCTCTTTCCCCAGAGGAAACCACCATCAAGAGGTTGGCATGTATCCTTCCTGAACATATTTTTATACTTGTACTGCATTTGTACTATGCATGGGCAAGATAAAGTTGTTTTATGTGTTTTTAAAATTTGCATAAATGGCTTTATAATATAGATATTATTTCTGCAGCTACCTTTAAAATTTTTGACTTCTATGCTGGCACATGTAGATCTAATTGTTAATTTTCATGGCTATGTAATGTTTGAACGGTGTGAGCATACTGCCTTTGATCTAGTCTCCTGTTGTTGGACATTTTTAGTTTGTTCTAAATTTTTTTGAACAGTATGTCCCAACAGCCTGTTACGTGTCTCTTCGGGCAGATGGGAGAGAGTTTTTCTAGTAACTGACTTTCTCTTCCATTCCTGTTCTCCATCCTCTAGATCATTCCAGGAGCTAGAACTGAACTGCTTTATGAATTTGCTTTTATTATTATTACTTTTAAATAAAGAAGTAAATAAAATGTGTTCTTGAGGGTTTATTTAGCATTCCTTTGGGACTTGGGAAATCCCTTTTTGGCGTTAGTTTCTCGAGGAGCCACTGTCGTTGGCTTTTATTTCCGTTTTAGCACAAGCGGTGGGTGGAAGCCCGTATGGGTCGTCAGGGCTCATCTCCGCACAGACTTCTGACCTAAAGGTGTGTGACATTTGCGCTGCGAGAGTTTGGCTGGAGGTTATATAACAACAACGGTACGATGATGGTGATGATGATGATAGCAGACGTCACTGAGGACTTGACGTGCACACCAGGCCATTGTGCTAAGCACTCGACACGTATCATTTTATTTAATTTTCCCAACAGCTGTGAATAAACACCGCTGTGATCTTCATTTTACGGGTGAGTAGGCTGAGGCACAGAGGTTAAGTTAGTAAGCCGGTCTCAGAGCTAGTAATTGGCAGAGCCAGGACTACAGAACTCGTGGGTTTCTTTTTCTTTTTCCTCCGCTTTTTATTTTGAGACCTTTCAGACCCATAGAAAAGTTGAAAGATGAATATGGTGAGCATTTACATTCCCTTCACCTGTGAACATTTTGCCGTATTTGCTCTTTCTGAGTGTGTGTTTGTGTATGTATATACTTTTTTTCCTCTGAACCTTTTGAAAATAAGTTGCAGATATGAGGACATTTATTTTTTATGTCTAAATACTTCAGTGTGTGTGTCCCATAAACGAGGACATTCTCCTGTATAACTGCAATATCATTACATACAATAAATTTTAACATTGATTCAATAATATTATCTAATATACCATCCATATTCAAGTCCCTCATTATTTTATTTTATTTTTTCTGCTTTTTCTCCCCAAATCCCCCCAGTATGTAGTTGCATATTTTTTTAGTTGTGGTCCTTCTAGTTGTAGCATGTGGGATGCCACCTCAGCGTGGCCTGATGAGTGGTGCCACGTCCATGCCCAGGATCTGAACCGGCGGAACCCTGGGCCACCGAGGTACAGCGTACAAACTTAACCACTCGGTCACGGGGCCAGGCTCTCCCTCATTATTTTAATAATAGCTTTGAAGTAGTTGAAAACCCCAAACCCCCGGACTAGATTCAGGACCTACTCAAGGGTCATTCATTGCATTTAATTTTTATGTTTCTAGACTCCTTTATTCTGGAACAGCTTCCTCTCCTGCCTTTTTTTCCTGTTTGGGCTTTTTAGTATTGATATTTAGGCCAGTTATTTCATAGGTTGTCCTCCAATCTGGATTTGCTGATGGTTTCCTCTTTTTTTTTTTTTTGGTCAGGAAGATTGGCCCTGAGCTAACGTCTCTTGCCAATCTTCCTCTTTTTGCTTGAGGAAGATTGTCCCTGAGCTAACGTATGTGCCATTCTTCCTCTGTTTTGTGTGTGGGATGCAGCCACAGGATGGCTTGATGAGTGGTGCATAGGTCTGTGCCTGGGATTGGAACCCACATGCCCTGGACCACCGAAGTGGATCGCATGAACTTAACCCCTATGCCACTGGGCCGGCTCTGTGTTTTCCTCATTTTTAGATTCAGAGTAAACATTTTTGGCAAGGATACCACAGAGATGTTGTTAGATCCAGCCCATTATTTCCTGTTAGGAAGGACATAATATCTGTTTGCCCATCTTTTGGTGATATTCAGTTTAATCACTCGGTTAAGGTGCTTACCAGATTTTTCTGTCATAAAAGTGCCTTTTTCCTTTTATAGTTAATAAGTGATCAGTGAGATGATAGTTTGTGAATCGGTGAATATCTTTTTCTCCAGCGCATTTTCATTTAATATTTTAGCATACGTTGATGAATTTTGTCTGAAGAAATTATTATATTGGCAATTGAAAAATTACTTTTTTTCTAATTCTGTTATTTCTTCTACATTTATTCGTTGGCATTCTTCTATAAAGGATGCTCCAACCCCCCCTTCCCTTTTTATTTTTGAGTATCGCTGTGGATTCGTGGGTCCTTTTTTTCAATCTAATGCATTGTAATTTATTGGTGTCGTTATTCTTTTTGATGTTCAAGTTGCCCCAGATTTGGCCAGTATGGCTCCTCTATCTTGTTGACATTTCTCCAGCAATCTTTGAATACATCCTTGCTTTCTGGCCCTATGAGATGTTTCAGGCCACTTTTATAGATTTTTCTCCACGCCTGGAATCACTCATTTCTCTCAGGAGCCTTGATTCTTTTGTGGGGAATGGTATTTAGAAACCATGACTTAGATGCTAGGTGTATTTATTGCTTCTAGGCCCTTATGGTAGACAGAGCTGGGAATAAATATTTGTGTGTTTAAAACCAATGTTCTTACTGATAGTTCCAGTTCAACCCACCTTTCTTGCCTTTTCCCATTCCGTGTTTGTATTTCCAGTCTGTAGGGAGAAGCTTGGTTCCCAGCAACATCAGTATATGACCTCATTTGGCCAATCCTGTAATACAAAATAGTTCCAGAATTACTATACCACTGTCATTTCTAATTACAAACCCGTTAAGTGAAGTTCATGATTTCTTTGGTGTCTTTTTGTTCTTACAATATATCCCACTAAGGGTGTATAATCGGTACTGGAATTAATTTTCTGTGTAGTTATGAACTGACTGCAAAGTTAGGTTCTTTTTTTTCTATTTGTATTCATTTTTTAATGTATTCATCTTGTTTGATCCTTGTTGATTTAATTTTATTTTTTGAATACGTAAAACATTAAGATTTTAAAATCACACTATATAAAAAGCTTTATTCTGAGAAATCTCATTCTTATCCCTCCTTGTACCCTATTTCCATCCATCCCTGTGGGTAACCATTTCCATTCATTTCTAGTTTATCCCTCTGTGTTTCTTTTTGCACATGAAGTAGAATACTAAATATATTTCTTTGTAATTTACTTTTTTCACGTACAGAAATCTTTTAGTGATCTTTCTCATCTTTTTAGTCAGCTGTATAGCATGTAACTTTCTACAGTTCCTTACAGATGGAATTTAGTTGTTGTCAGTATTTTACAATGCTGTATAATGCTGTAGAGAATATGATAACATTTTGCATATGTTTTGTGCTTTTGGAGGTCTGTCTGCAGGGTGAATTCCTGGGAGTGAGATAACTGGGGCAGAGATAAATGCATAGACAGTAGAGTTTTTCCCAGGTCTCCTCTGCAAGGATTGTATCATTTGGCAATCCCACCACCAGTGTGTGAGGGTGCCTCTCTTTCCACAGCTTCGCCACTTGAGTGCTGTCAAGCTTTCCGTTCTCGCCAACCTGATAGTTGAGAAATGGTATCTCAGTGAATTTTAATTTTCATTTCTCTTATGAGTGAAGCTGAGCATCTTTTAGTAAGTTTAAAGGCCATTCATATCTCTTTTTTGTGATCTGTCTTAGAACCAATGTTTTTATCAACTCTGCAACACTGCCAAGTATCACTTTGTATGTTTCCTTATATGTACTTATATATATGTTATAGACACTGTTATGTATGTGCGTGTGTGCCTCTGTGTGTGCGTATGTGTGTGCATGTGCATGATGCACGCATGATGAGTTTATTGTCCTGGTTCTCTGCAGGCAATCTAACCTTTTTGTTCTATGCCCATGCTGACAAATTGATGATGATGTTGCCTTATATTTAGTTAGTCAAGGAAGAGCCTCCTTTTTAATTTTGAGAATACAGAAAAATACAAAAAAATTATGTGCAGTCACCCATGTTGTATTTACTGCCAGTCATTTTTTTCTTCAAAATATGATATAAACTAAAGCAAAATTTCCCTTTATTCACCACCCTCGATCCTGCTCTTCCCTTTGCCCCAGAGGCAGCTACTGTCATGAGTTTGCTATATTTCTCTCTAGTTCATTAAAAAAAGTATATATATTTATAATGCAATAAAGAATATAATATGTAAATAATACTGTAATAAAATGTAATATCTATATATGTGTATATATGTCTGTGTCATGAATAACATATATAGTATTACATGTGTGTTCTTAACTTTTCATAAATGGTACATGCTAGGCATATCATTCTGCATTGTGCTTTTCTTATGCAATATCACGTTTTTGAGATTCATCCATGTTGCTGTATGTTAATCTAGTCCATACCTAAAATATCTATCTTTGTGTTATGTCATTAAGTAAAGGCTAGAAATAGAAAGTTCTGCTGTTAAAATAGAGTCAGGTGTAGCTGGGGGAGAGTGACTGGAAGTGCCTTTTTTACCTACTGAAAAAGCTTGTCACCAAAAATTAGAAGAAGATACCGTCAGTAACATTATGGGACGGTTTTTTGTATTTTCCTTTGCTACTATTTTCCTTTTTCTTCAGCAGAAATGTGTTTACATTTTCCAGAGACTTCATCAATAATGCTACAGGGTCAGACTGAAAATAAATATAGGCCAGTGGTTACCATTTTGGGGTTGCCAGAGTCCTTATGTCCCCAAAGGTGATAAAGAGTATCCCTGAGATATATTTAGTAGTTCAGAAAACCAAACGGAAATCATAGACTGCCTAGGCTAACGAAAATACCAAGTTTTGGCCTGTGTTATGTCAACTCAGTTGGATAACATATTAGCCATCTCATGCTGGAAAATCTGTCAATGATATGTGTCTTTAAAATGATTTTTAAGAAAGAATTATATGCGATGTCTTAAGTGTACAGTGAGATGAGTTTTGACAAATGTATTTATTCCTGTAACCAACCCCCCAGTCAAAATATAGTGTTTCTATCACCCTAGAAAGTTCTTTTGTGCCCCTTTCTAATCTCCCTCCCTCTATGAGGCAACTCCTGTTCTCATTTCTGTCCCAGTAGACTAGTGTTGCTTGTTGTACAGTTTCATATAAACGAGGTATACAGTATATATTCTTTTGTGTCTGGCTTCTTTCTCGACATAATGTTTTCGAGATTCATCCATGTTCTTGTATGTATCAGCAGTTCTTTTTTTTATTGCTGTGTGCTCTTCTATTGTATGAGTATGCAGCTATTTGTTCGTCTATGTTGGTGATAAATATTTGAGTTTTCAATTTTTTTCTATTACAAATAAGGCTGCAATAAATATTGTTGTACGAGTCTTTTTGGTAGCCATAGTTTCATTTCTTTTGGGCAAAATACTTAGAAGTGGATTTATTGGAGTATAAGGTAGATGTATGTTTAACTTTGTGTTTTGATTACTTAATGATGAGAGAAATATTGTTAACATTTGCAATTTGACAGGTCACACTTTCAAAGCAAAAGTTGTACAAGGACAAGAAACTAATAAACAGAGCCCTTTGTATTGAAATTGTTGAGTGTGCTTACTTCGCTCGTTGCGTTTGTTATAGGACAAGTGTAAACTCGTTCTTCAGGTTGGTTTCAATGTTTAGGTGAAATGTGATATTGAATATGAAGTCCATTTTTACTGGTACAGCTCTTTATTTGTTTCCCCCCTTTCTAATGGACTATTTTAGAAGAAATGGAGCGGTCACGCACATCAAGATTCAGAACACTGGGGATTACTATGACTTGTATGGAGGGGAGAAGTTTGCCACTTTGGCTGAGTTGGTCCAGTATTACATGGAACATCATGGGCAATTAAAGGAGAAGAATGGAGACGTTATTGAGCTCAAATATCCTCTGAACTGCGCAGATCCTACCTCTGAAAGGTCAGTGATGTTTCAGTAACTGCAGAGTCTCCCGTGCCCTAGGTGCTGTGTGCATGCATTATGGGAGTTTCGCTTGTATCTGTTTCTCCAGCTGTAATCTTTAAAGTTTTGCTAAAGTAAGAATAATAGAACCAGATTCTTCTCGGAGTGCTCTTTTCTTGCAGAGCTTCAGTGTTGCTCACACTCATGCTACGGGAGTCGCAGACTATTCCTGTATATGCTGGGTACATGCAGTGATTTTAGGATGATTGCACTTCAGCTGACAGTCTGAGAGTTGTGAGAGGGAAACAAATGACAGAGGAGACACTAACGCAGCAGCAGTTCTCTGTAGTAGCTCCTGACCAGTTATTCAGCAATGTCACCAACAGATGTCAGTTTAAGCTCAGAAGTGGAAAAGCAGAGCACTCAGAGGGTCAGATTTTTATCAGTTCTACTGTGTTCTATCCACAAAGGTGTGAGAATGCCCATGCTTAGGGGGAATTGCATTATTTCAGCGATCCTTCGCCCGTGTTGGCACTAAGCTGATGAAAGCTGGGGCTTGATTTATTTATATTGATTTTATTGGTTTTCTGCATTCCTGGTCTCCTCTCTGACTCAGTGTAAACTCAGGGTCTCTTAATTAGGGTGGTATATTTTGTATCTTCAGGTAGCTTTCTTCACCTTGCACCTTTATGTCAATGCTATTATATGCTAATAATTTGTTTCTCCAGCCACCACTGTAGCTTCAAGCAAAAGGCTGTCAGCCAACTCTGTGCAGTTTCTTTCTTTATTTTTTGAAGATTGGCACCTGAGCTAACATCTGTTGCCAATCTTTTTTCTTTTTCTTTCTATTCTTCTTCTTCTCCCCAAAGCCCCCCAGTGCATAGTTGTATATTTTAATTGTAGGTCCTTCTGGTTGTGCTATGTGGGACGCTGCCTCAGCATCACCTGATGAGTGGTGCCATGTCTGTGTCTGGGATTTGAACTGGCGAAACCCTGCGCCACCGATGCCGACCGCGCAAACTTAAGCACAGGGCCATGGGCCTGGCCCCTGTCCAGTTTATTTCTAAATTTTACTCTGTTTGTTTGAGGGTGGATGAAAAATAACTCAAGGTATATTCTTTTAGTGATGAGGCATTAGTGTTATCTGCCATGGTAGTACTGGCTTTCTTCCCACAATCCTGAGGGAAGAAGCCACATTATTAATATGACTATGTTAGGATGTTTTCTATGATAACTTAGAGCAGTGTTGTCTCAAAGTCTGTCCTTGGATGGCCTTTGTCAGGACTCTGGCATGCTGGTTAAAAATGCAGATTGCTGGGTCCTGTTCAGACAGTTTCTTGGTATCTCTGGTTGTAAGGCATGGGAATTCAGTTTTAGCAAAATCCCTCATCCATACTCCAAGGTTTTGTGCATTAAAGTTTGAAATGATAACCCAGTATACAGTCCAAAGATGTTGACAGCAAACCTGTAGACTATTGAAGTATAGGTTGGAAATATGGAAAAATTTGGAATGCTTGAATTTATTTATAATGAAGATCCTTTTCTATGCAGTGTTCACATGCCAAAGCAAAGGCAAACATTCAAATGATTCTCTGTTTCTACCATGACTTTCTAGTGTAACTTCATTAGGTTGCACTTAAATAGTTGGTCCTATTAGGCTTGAGCAATGGAGAAATGACAAATTTCATTTTTAAAAGATGGAAAATGTAAAAGAAAATAGGAAAGATTGAGGACATTTGTCTCCAAATGACTGGGCTCATTTAAGAAGTTTAATGGTCATTGTTTTTTTTGAGGAAGGTTAGCCCTGAGCTAACGTCTGCCACCAATCCTCCTCTTTTTTGCTGAGGAAGACTGGCCCTGAGCTAACATCCATGCCCATCTTCCTCTACTTTATATGTGGGATGCCTGCCACAGCATGGCTTGATAAGTGATGCACAGGTCTGCACCTGGGATCTGAACTGGTGAACCTTGGGCCGCTGAAGTGGAAGGTGTGAATGTAACCACTGTGCCACCAGGCTGGCCCCAGTTTAATGGTCATTCTTGACATCTTTATCATTTTTCTTGCCTCTTTGGGTTGCAGATTCTATCTTCCATGGGGTTGATCAGTCTCTTGGAGGAACGTGTCTGTTTTTAGTTGTGTTCAGGAGAGCTGACTAAATATAGTAGTTTGGTGAAAGAATGTTGTGAACCCATGGCAGAACTCAATTCATTTTCATTTTAAAAAATTTAGGTGGTTTCATGGACACCTGTCTGGGAAAGAAGCAGAGAAATTATTAACGGAGAAAGGAAAACACGGCAGCTTTCTTGTGCGAGAGAGCCAGAGCCACCCTGGAGATTTTGTTCTCTCTGTCCGAACTGGTGATGACAAAGGAGAGAGCAATGACGGCAAGTCTAAAGTGACCCACGTCATGATCCGCTGTCAGGTAAAGCCCCAGGTGAACAACGGGTCTGGCAGAATGTTGTCTTTGGTGATTTTTCCGCCAGGAGAAGATACACCCCATTACTTCCAAAGTCAGATTTTCTTTGCTCATTTAGTCAAGGGCTTCTGCGCGTTGAGTACATTGTTTATGATAATTGTTTCATCATTTCAGAACTTCATTGAATTATTTGTTTCCAGTCTGTATCTGGCAGATCAAGTCGTGCCTTGGTGCACCACCTTCTGCCCTGCAGGATCTAATCTGTTTGTGCTTGATTGCGGCTGGAGTCAGCCTCGGTCTCAGTTTCTGGAGGGACAGCCTCAGCTCCTCCTTCGGGTTATCACAGTCTAGCCTGTGACTGCATTTGCCTTCATGTCACAGAGTTCCTGCATTAGGGCTGGGAGGATTGGTCTCACTGTTTCTTGTTTTAATGTGGACTGGACCAAGGTGGTTGATCCTTGGTCAACTATATCAGACTTTGTTTTGACATAATTTCCTGAATAGTAACTGTCTATTCACTTATTGCTTCTGTTTTTTAATTAAAATAAAAAAATAAAATTAAAAAAAAAAAAGCTTTATTGAAATATAATTCACACGCCATACAGTCCACCCTAACAGTGGACAATTTAGTGGTTTTTAGTATATTCACAAATTATGCAACCACCAACACTATCTAATTCCAGAACATTTTCATCACCCCAAAAAGAAACCCTATGTCCATTACCAGTCACTCCCTGTTTTTCCCCCTCTCCTCAGCTCTTAGTAACCACTAATCTGCTTTTTGTTTCTATGGGTTTGCCTATTTTGGATGTTTCATGTAGATGGAATCATGTAATATGTGGCCTTTTGTGTCTCGCTTCTGTTACTTAGCATTCTGTTTGCAAAGTTTATCTATATTATAGCAAGTGATCAGTAAACTCTTTTTATCACCAAATATTCCATGATCTGGGTATACCACATTTTGTTTATCCATTAAAAATTTGATGGGCATTTTGGCTACTGTGGATAATGCTGCTATGAACATTTGTGTACAAGTTTTGTGAGATTCTCCGTTTGATGAGATATCATGCTCATGTTTTCATTTGTAAAGTATAGTTTCCTTTAATTTTTTGAATATATTTATACTAGCTGATTTAAAGTCTGTGTCTGGGCTTTCTCCAGGAAAGTTTCTGTTGAGTGCTCCCTGCCCCCTCTCATGTATGGGCCTTACTTTCCTGTTTCTTTGCATGTCTCATAATTTTTGTTGGAAACCAGACCTTTTAAATAATATAATGTTGTGACTCTGGAAATCAGATACCTTCCTTTCCCTGGGGTTGTTGTTGCTACTTTTTATAGTTGCTTTGTGTGTTTTGTGACTTTCCTATATTCTTTGTCATATATGCCTATTGAAGTTTTCTTGGTTAGCTTAGTGGTCAGTTAATGATTGGATAGAGGTTTCCTTAAATGCCTTGAACCGTTAGGTCTCCCAGCCTTTGCCTGGGGAACTCTGTGTGTGTGTGTGTTGGTGCAAGCCTTCAGCACTCTGGCAGCTTAAAACTCTGCCTTAGCCTTCACTTCCTGCTTGCACAGAACCTCAGGGTCAGCTAGAGGTGAAGATTAGGGCCTTCTTGGATCTTTCCTGGACTTCACACAGCCCTGCACATACAAATGGTCTTCTAGAGTCTCAAGAATAGTTGGGGGGCTGGCACAGTGGTGCAGCGGTTAAGTTCACATGTTCCGCTTCTCGGTGGCCTGGGGTTCACTGGTTCGAATCCTGGGTGTGGACATGGTGCTGCTTGGCAAAAGCCATGCTGTGGTAGGTGTCCCATGTATAAAGTAGAGGAAGATGGGCATGTATGTTAGCTCAGGGCCAGTCTTCCTCAGCAAAAAGAGGAGGATTTGCAGTAGTAAGCTCAGGGCTAATCTTCCTTAAAAAAAAAAAGAATAGTTGGAGGTTTTCAGAGCCCCCTATGGATATTGCTTATATTTTCCTTTTAAGCTTTTGGTCAGTCTCTTATTTGCCCTAACTGTCGTTGCTGCCTTCGGCAGCCATGATATTAAACAGTTGCTTCTGACTGTTTCTAGCAGATCCCCTGAAGACAGGGCCAAGTGAGCTCTGGGTCAGTCAAATAAGGACAAGCTCTGAGAACAGGGCTTTTCCAAGGAGCTGCTAAACAGGCGAGATAGTGATACTTCTCTCAGGATAGGTCTCTTGAGAGGGCTCCAGATCCATTCTGTGCCCTCTAGTTGTGCTAGCTTGCTTGTTTTCACAGCTACTGTGGTTACGAGGCTGTTGGTTTTCAAGGCTACCTAGAAGCTAGGGAGGGGTGGGTGGGAATAAGGCAAGTTAAAAGGCCAGTTTGTTCTTCTTATCAAGATTCAATCATTTTTCTTGAATAAATGCTCCTTGGACTGTTGGAAGTTCTTGGTTAATTTTCAGAAGTCTGAAAAAGTTAATGACAGTTTTTGCCAGTTTTCTTGTTACTTTTATGGAAGAGCAGATTTTCAGAGAGGTCCTTACTCTGCCATTCTGAAATGGCTTATTTCAGTTTTATTTTTAAATAAAAGATATTACCCAAATATCTTCATATATAATTTCTAAGGTTTTCTATTTTCTAAGTTTAACTATTTTCCTGTTGTTTTCCTTAAATAGCCTATTCTGATCTCCTGTCAGGGAAAATTTCCTGGTCTCTGTCTATGATTTCTCTTTTAAATTCTCATTAGAAGGTGAAAGTAAAGGCGTGTATGTTGGGCTTCAGTGCTGCCTCACCAGCCTTGGGGTTTGTTGTCTTTCAGAAAGAAATAGTCATTTACCTTCTATTCAGCAGCTTTATGTATAGTCACTTAGCTTGGTGTATAAGTAACAAGTCAAGAATACTGTTTTTAATTTTTTTAACTATTTATTTAACTTATGAAGGAGAAACTTTTTTGTGGCCCAGTTAATGTTGGATACTTATTTAGAGCTGCTCACACCTCACAGTGAACTCTTTCACATTGTGGCAGCCTCTCCATTTTCATCATCCTTGTTGCTTCCTTCCTTTGCGCTCCTACGGCTGTTTGATCTTTCCATCACTGAGGGAGAGTTAGTCATTGTACTTCAGTTGGGAAAAACAGTAATTTAACATAAAGATCATGAACATATTTTTTTTTGTTTTGAAAGGAACTGAAATATGATGTTGGTGGAGGAGAACGGTTTGACTCTTTGACAGATCTCGTGGAGCATTACAAGAAGAATCCCATGGTAGAAACATTGGGCACAGTATTACAACTCAAGCAGGTGAGCATATTGGAAAGCTAAAGCTCCGTCTCCTTACAGAGTTAATAAAAATCCTAATATAGAATATTCCAAATATACGGAAGTAGAAGAGTATCATGAACCTCCATGTACCCATCACCCAGCTTCAGGTATGATCAGCTCATCAAATCTTGTTTAATTTATTACTCCACTCACTGCCCTCCTGCTGTGCTGTTTGGGAACAATTCCAGAAATCACATCATTTCCATGATTATCTCCATATGTATCTCTGAAAGGCCTTATTGGGTTTTTAAAGCAAGTTTTCACTGTCGATCCACCTGGGGTTACGTTTAGGTGATCACTCTTACTCACTTTGGAGTTACTGCTATTTCGAAGTTTGCTCTTATTATTACTTGGTGGCAAATTATGTCACCTCTCCAAATAATGTTGTGGTCTATTTATAAAGAAAAACAGCTTCGAATTCATATCAGCAGAGTAAAGTATGTGTGGAGATTGAAGAAAGATATATTTTCTGACAGAATAGAAAAGAAAGTGAAACTGTGTTTGCAAACTTTATTATGCATTGCCGTGTCCTGTGGCCTTCCTGTCCTTGCCTTTATGAATACCAGCGTAGAAGTCTTTTAGTTTTTTTTTTGCATTGACACTTTTTTCTGTAATACTTTCTTTGTTTCACACCAACTGCTGGACTTGATTAGCCCCTCAACACAACTCGTATCAATGCTGCGGAAATAGAAAGCCGGGTTCGAGAACTGAGCAAATTGGCTGAGACCACAGATAAAGTCAAACAAGGCTTTTGGGAAGAATTTGAGGTGAGTTACTAAAATAATTTTTACTAAATCCTATTTTTAATGGAAGAGAAGCTGGCCTTGTGCTCGGAATTGGACTGAAAGACTTGAATCCACGTCCTTTCTCAATCCGGCCGTTGATTGACGTGGAACAAGTAGCTGAGGGGCTTCTTTGAAATAGAAGGGCGTTGTGTTCTGGGAGCAGGGAGTTGGCAGTTAACAGTAAATGGGTGAGCCAATAGTTCCATTTGACTCTTGGTTTGGACTGCTGGCAAAAGCCCAGAAAAACAAAAGCATCTAATTCCTTTGGAAGATTTCCAGTATTGGCTGGGGTCTTTAGAAAGAATCTATAACCCCATTGCAGTGAGTAAGTGAAAGAGAAATATCTCATTGTGGTTTTAATTTAGGGCATGAAATTTATAACTTTGGGAAGTTAAGTGAACTGATTTCTTTCCTGAAACCAACTGGGTAGGAGAATGTCTCCAGTGACAATGTGCTGTGTTCCTGCTGCACTCTGGTATGTCACTTACCAATTCATAGGGTGATTCGTTCTCTCTCTTTTCATCCGTTTGAGGGAAAACTTCCTCAAAAACAAAGATTGTGCCATATTTACCTTTGTAGGTATCCCTAGGATGTGGCACAGTGCCTGGTACACTGCAGAAACTCCATAAATATTGGTTGAATTAGTATTTACATTTAGCTAATGTTTGTGTCATTTTATTTTTATTTTTAATTTTTTTATTATTTTTAAAAATTTATTTATTTTTTCATTTATTTGTTTATTTTTGGATATACATCATAATATATTTTGAATTCTGTGTAATTACATCATGTTCACCACCCGAAAACTAATTATAGTCCGTCCCCTCACATGTGAGCCTAATCACCCCTTTTGCCCTCCCTCCTCCCCCCGTGTCATTTTATTATTATTACTCTGTTTATGGGAGTGATTATCCCATACTTTTTATAGGACTTTAGAATTTACAGATTTTTGTGGAGTGAATGAATGAATGAATGAATGTGGCATTGGGTACAGATGGAGCAGTCACAGTCCTAGCTCAGCACTGCTGAGCAGGAACTTGAACTCAGGTTTATTCTTTCACACCAGGCATTTAGTCCCTAAGCACGGTGAGCAAGATAGACAGGGTTTCTCTCTTTAAGGAGCTTCTAGTAGAGGGGGGGAAGACAGTGATGAAAAGCATCAACAAAAAAGTGGTGATAAACATAATGAGTCAGAATTTTTAAATTTCAAGCTCACTGTTCTCTTCATTCTGTCCTGCTGGCCTAGATAGTATGAGGCAGCATTTCAACGTTCATTTAATTACATTCACTTAATTTCATTTAATCTTCAGAAAGCCTCCTGAGGTGAGATGGATAAGTACAGAAGTTTTAGAAAGCTTACATCAAAATTTGTATGAAAAACTGTTTTGAAAGCTTTTTATTATGCAAAATTTCAGATGTGTACAAAGGCTGAGATAATAATATAATCATAGCAGTATGCCTATCACCCAGCATTAACAATTGTTGATACACTGTCAGTCTTTTTTTTTTTTTTTTTTTTTGCTGAGAAAGATTTGCCCTGAGCTAACATCTCCTGCCAATCTTTCTGTTTTTTGTTTTTTTTTTAAATGTGAGCCACCGCCACAGCATGGCCACTGACAGAGGAGTGGGTGGGTCCACACCTGGGAACCAAACCTGGGCTGCCAAAGCGGAGTGCGTTGAACTTAACCACTAGGCTACTGGGGCTGACCCTGGCCAGTCTTCTTTAACTACGTCTCACTCACTCCCCCAGGCCTGGCTTATCTTGAAGCAAATCCAGATGTCATTTCATTTGTAACTATTTCATTTTAAAAAATTATAACCAAAATATCATTATCACACCTAAAATTAACAATAATTCTTTAATATTAACGCCTATCAGTCACTGTTCACATTTTCCTAATTGCCAAATCCACACACACACATATTTGCAGTTTGTTTGAATTGAGAAGTGCTTTTTTTATTTGATTATGAAAAAATTTTGAATGTATATGAAATAGATTTGTATAAAGAACTCCCATGTACTAGTATCAGTTTCATCAGTTGCCCCAGACATCATATTATTTTATTCATAAATATTTAAATATTTATAGAATCCTTAAAAAATTAACCAAAATACTACTACCACATCTAAAAAAAAGATAAAAATTCATTAAATATCCAGTCATTGTTCAGATTATGGCAGTTTTCTTTTTGTTTTTCTTAAAGATTTTATTTTTCCTTTTTCTCCCCAAAGCCCCCGGTACATAGTTGTGTATTTTTAGTTGTGGGTCCCTCTAGTTGTGGCATGTGGGACACTGCCTCAGCCTTGTTTGATGAGCGGTGCCATGTCTGCGTCCAGGATCCGAACCGGTGAAACCCCGGGCTGCCAAAGTGGAGCGCGTGAACTTAATTGCTCGGCCACGGGGCCAGCCCCTAGCAGTTGTCTTATAATTTAAAAAAATCGTTTGTTGTATCGTTATTCAGATAAGCTCCATATGTATTCCTCTTTTTTTTTTTTTTTTTTATTAATGTTATGATAGATTACAACCTTGTGAGATTTCAGTTGTACATTTTTGTTAGTCATGTTGTGGGTACACCACTTCCCCCTCTGTGCCCTCCCCCCACCCCCCCTTTTCCCTGGTAACCACCGATCAGATCTCCATATCAATATACTAAATTCCACCTATGAGTGGAGTCATATAGAGTTCGTCTTTGTCTGACTGGCTTATTTCGCTTAACATAATACCCTCGAGGTCCATCCACGTTGTTGTGAATGGGCCAATTTTGTCTTTTTTTATGGCTGAGTAGTATTCCATTGTGTATATATACCACATCTTCTTTATCCAATCATCAGTTTCTGGGCATGTAGGCTGGTTCCACGTCTTGGCTATTGTAAATAATGCTGCGATGAACATAGGGGTGCAACGGACTCTTGAGATTTCTGATATCAGGTATCTTAGGATAGATACCCAGTAATGGGATGGCTGGGTCATAGGGTATTTCTATTTTTAACTTTTTGAGAAATCTCCATACTGTTTTCCATAGTGGTTGTACCAGTTTGCATTCCCACCAACAGTGTATGAGGGTTCCTTTTTCTCCACAACCTCTCCAACATTTGTCACTCTTGGTTTTGGATGTTTTTGCCAATCTAACGGGTGTAAGGTGATATCTTAGTGTAGTTTTGATTTGCATTTCCCTGATGATTAGCGATGATGAACATCTTTTCATGTGTCTATTGGCCATATTCATATCTTCTTTTGAGAAATGTCTGTTCATGTCCTCTGCCCATTTTTTGATCGGGTTGTTTGTTTTTTTGCTGTTAAGCCGTGTGAGTTCTTTGTATATTATGGAGATTAACCCTTTGTCGGATAAGTGGCTTGTGAATATTTTTTCCCAATTAGTGAGCTGTTTTTTTGTTTCAATCCTGTTTTCCCTTGCCTTGAAGAAGCTCTTTAGTCTGATGAAGTCCCATTTGTTTATTCTTTCTATTGTTTCCCTCAACTGAGGAGTTACAGTGTCCGAAAAGATTCTTTTGAAACTGATGTCAAAGAGTGTACTGCCTATATTCTGTTCCAAAAGACTTATTGTCTCAGGCCTAATCTTTAGGTCTTTGATCCATTTTGAGTTTATTTTGGTGAGTGGTGAAAAAGACTGGTCAATTTTCAATCTTTTGCATGTGGCTGTCCAGTTTTCCCAGCACCATTTGTTGAAGAGACTTTCTTTTCTCCATTGTAGGCCCTCTGCTCCTTTGTCGAAGATTAGCTGTCCATAGATGTGTGGTTTTATCTCTGGGCTTTCAATTCTGTTCCATTGATCTGTGGACCTGTTTTTGTACCAGTACCATGCTGTTTTGATCACTGTAGCCATATGTATTCCTCTTTTAAAAATCTTAAATTTCTGGTGCCAGCCCTGTGGCTTAGTGGTTAAGTTCCTGCGCTCTGCTTCGGTGGCCCAGGGTTTCGCCGGTTCGGATCCTGGGTGCTGATATGGCACCTCTCGTCAGACGGTGCTGAGGCGGTGTCCCACACGCCACAACTAGAAGGACCCACAACTAAAATATACAACTATGTCCTGGGGGCCTTTGGGGAGAAGCAAAAAAAAAAAAAGATTGGCAACAGTTGTTAGCTCAGGTGCCAGTCTTTAAAAAAAAAGAAATCTTAAATTTCTCTTAATATTTTGCCTCCTCTTCTATCCTCTCTCTTTCCTTCTCCCTCTCCGTCTGTCTTAGTTCATTCTAGCTGCTGGAAATACCAGACTGGGTAGCTTATAAACAATAGAAATTTATTTCTTATGGTTCTGGAGGCTGGAATTCTGAGATTGGGGTGCCAGCATGGTCAGATGAGGGTCCCAGACTTCTCCTTGTGTCCTTGCTTGGTAGAAGGGGTGAGGGAGCTCTCTGAGGTCTCTTCTAGGGTACTAATCCCATTTATGAGTGCTCCACCCTTATGACCGGATCACCTCCCAAAGGCCCCATCTTCTAATACCATCACATTGGGCCTTAGGATTTCAACATAGGAATTTTGAAGGGATGCAAACATTGAGACCGCAGCACCCTCTCTGTTTTTGTTTTTGGTATTGGAGAAAGCAGCTGCTTTGTCTTGAAAGTTACTTATGATCTGGAGTTTGCTGTGTGTGTCAGGAGGTACTTATGTGTTGTTGTTTCTCTTTTTATTTTCTTAGGTGCCACTGATAATTATTGTCTTAATCCATTAATTCATAAGAGGTATTAAGATCGTGATATTCTAATTTATCATTCCTTCTTCCTTTATTAGATGGAATATTTCTATGAAAATAAGCTTTTTATCACCAAGGCAGGATAAATGCTTGATTCTTTCCTTTTTACTAAGCAGATTTCAAAATAGCATTTTCCCCAGTTTTTTTTTTTTTTTTTTGTATCAATATATACTCATGGATTTTTAGCACATTTGATGTGCTTCTATCTATGGCATTTGTTATCATTTTTATTCCTCAGATATTTTAGCTTTGGTCGTTGGGAGCCTCTG